AGCGAAAAAAGGGTCGACAAGAGCGTCGTGGTATTTGGTGGACTGAAGGTCGGACAGGCCACCCGATAGTTGGCTGCTACGTGTGAGTCGAAGTAGACAAAATGGCATCGACCGAAATTACCTTAGTAGTAGGAAGCATAGGCCTATCTTTGCTTCATTTTTTTTAACAATTCTGTGAAGTGTTTACAATGCTTTAATTATCTGAGAGTACAAATAAAGACACGCTGTTTATTTGATATTTGTTTTATTGATTGCTATACCAACAGAATGCATGAAATGACCTTAAATAGATTTGGTAATATGCAGCATATATATTCATGACTTTTTACCTTTCTACGAAGTAGGCCCTATTCACAATGCTTTAATATTTTGGTAGCATGGATAAAGACATTTTGTTAGTTTGATACGTGTTTCTGTGGTAAATTAGTGTTTCCAGCTGTGTACTGAAAACATAACTTTTCTTAAGCAGTTTTTTTTTTGGACTGTTTTTTTTTTTTCGCCCGCTCGCACCGACTTTGGGGTCCCCAGAGGATGTCATCCATAAAAATAAAAAAGTGTGGCCTTACCACTGTACAAAAATGATTAAAAAAGCACTTGGCACAAATGTAAAACTGCCCAGTGCAAGGCCAAGAATTCAATCAGTATTCTCAATTATATTATCAGATTCTACATAAATTGACTGACAATATCACTATTTAATTAATCTCTTAATCCAAAATTCCTACCATCATTTAGTAATTACAGTGTATGAAATTCAAGGAAATTACTAGCCAGACCACAGGGCAGGTAACTCTGAAAAGTTGCCAGCCCGGCCAGGTAGTTACCTGCCCTAGCTATGATAACCGCTAGAATTAAGATAGTTAACATAGGTAGGGGATCTAGAATGCATTCTTGGAATGTAATTTGTCACCTGGGTCTTTTTTTGTGTGTAATCTGATTGCAGGGAATAAATAGGTGGGATTTGCCAGCTTTTGGTAGTCAACTTTGGCTTCTCGAGCACTTATCACAGAGTCTGTGTGAGATGCCATTGTTGTGCTATGATTGGCTGTTGAGTCACGTGAAGCCCTACTGTAGCGCCCTCGCGTATCGCGTATGCTGCGCATTTCTGGCCTTGTTATTCATTTAGAACTGCCGCATTCTTCCTGTTTATATATTAAACAAACATAGTGCTGGATAAATCTAAGACACGTTTGTAGTGTGTTCATTACACTTTTCACAGTGATTAGCATCACAATTCAAACATCATCACAGTGTCAAATCATAGTTCATTTCTAATCTGCATACTTATACGTGGATATTTCACATCCGTCAGTTCCAACGACAAGCTCCCCGTTACTGCTGACATCGACTGACAAAGGAGATCTAAGACCGTTATTCCTAGTCAAAACGTAACGTAGGAATTTCCCGTCTGAACCAAGGACAATCACCCTGTCATTTCGGCTGTCAGCTATGAATATGTGCCCAATATTATCTACGCACACTCCTCGTGGATAATCTAGTTGTCCATCTTCATTTCCACTCTGACATCGTGTTCCGTATTGGAATAAGACATCACCCTGGGGTGTCACTGCATACACACAGTGGGCACTGTAGTCGCTGACTATGATTGCATTGATGCCGTGGTGGTATGCACAGCGCTGTGAACCATCACTGCACATTGGGATACCGATTTTGTTCACAAGTTGAAAAGATTCCATACTGTACACACAGATGCACCGAGTATCACTATCACACACGTACACCTTGCCCTCTGTACGGTCCACCGTGACACCCCAGGGGTCAGACATATCACCCTGACCAAAACACCGTATAACCTGACCTAATGTTGAGTACAGTCTACAGCATTTATCTTCACATGTGACTACGAATCTATCGTTACTAACTGTAGTGATACGCCTTGCCCTTCCCTCTATACTGATCTCACGATTACATTGACCTGTGCTGGAGAATACAGACACTGTAATACCACGCACAACTAAAACACACCTGTCATCTGTCCACTGGACATCCCACGGCCAATCCTTTACTTTAAAACAAGTAACCCGCTCTGGCGTCCCCACCCACTTGGCTTCCATCAGCTGGCGAAGGTGCACTCTCTCTTTTTTCAAACTTCCAAAATATGCATCCAAAGGACCACTGTATGTTTTGGCCTTGATGGACACTGTTTTGATGGTCAGTGGCAGTGGTTCAGGAATTTTAGGAAACTGAAGCACAAGGTCCATTTCTGTTTTTCCTGGTGTAAATGTTATGTTGGTGATCTTAGTATCTACGGCAGGTTCTACTGTATGTAACTCCTGAATTCTAGTTTGGAGTTTTTTAGAGTGGGTCATGACCTCGATGTCGGAACCGGTGTCTGTGAGCTGCTGGGCGAAATCGCGAATGCTCTGAATGGAAATCTTGTTCATTTCTTGCTTGTCTTTTTCAGCCATTAAAGCCTTCACCTGCGTGGAGGTGAATGCCTTAACTTCGGTCGATAGTTCGTTGCTCCTACCATCAACAAATCGTTTCATTTCGGAGTAATTGGACTGCATCTTCTTTCGATATCTTTCAAAATGCTGTTTTACATTAGTCAAATACGTGGTAGTTTGTTCACGTACGTTCTTTTCTATTTCTTGGTAATTATCTTCGAGTTCTCTTTCAAGAATTTTACTGTTTTCATTAATCTCCTTTGCCATTGCCAATTTTTGAGAATCCACCAAACGAAGAACCTTCGACTGATTTTCTTCTAGCCTCTCTTCCGTTTGTACAGTGACCTTTTCTGCCTTCTCAAATCGAGACAATTTCTCGGTTGGGAGACATTTAAGCTTTTCTCGTATTTGCTCCCGTTGATCCCTCACTAGATCCCCTAATTTTTCAAAGTCGTGCTTACTGTGAGTTTCCAAAATACAATCTCTACATGCCACGGTGTCATCCTCTTTACAATAAAATGTCAGCAGTTCTCCGTCGTGTTTATCGCAGAATTGAGCTTTATCCAATACTCGACGTAATTGTTCCCGCATGCTAGCTGAGTTAACTGAGAAGTCGACTTGTGACAGAGCTATAAAGTGATGTCCAGTCAATGCTGGGATGCTGTCATGCAATTCACGACATGTAGCACACAGTTGGTTGGTTTTGGGACAACCTTGGCACAGCAAAGTGGCCTCTTTATGCTTACAGTACTCACAAAGTCTACCCTCGGGCGCTTTCTGGTCTTTTATGAAGTCTGTTATTTTTCTTAAACAGAAGTTTTTCACGAGAGTTTCTAACCCACCTGGTGGTACAGGGGCCTCGTTGCGACATACGGGACAGGAGAACTTGTTCTGGACACCATTCTTGGCAGCATGGTCAGCAATGCATTCCAGGCAGAACGTGTGGTAACAAGGGAGCACTCTCGGGTCTTTATATTCTTCCAGACAGATATGACACGTTAAAAAGTTCTCACTGAAGACGTTGTAAAGCTCTTTGGAAGCCATATCTACGGTAAAAGAGGACAGATAAGAAGCAGCGTCGTTCCCCTACTAGCTGGCTGATAAACTTCACCGTTGCTAAGGGTGTTGTGTGTGTCTATACATCTGTAATGTTAGTTAGTGACAGCATGCCGTGAATAAGAGCGGGGAGTGTTTAGTAGAGTAACTTAAGTTGATTGACATGCTCTTATGGTATTTATACAACTGCGCTTAGTGTAAACAGAGAGAAGGCCGCTGCAGATTGCATGAGGTAGGAATAGAAATGAGGGAAGCGGCGCGGGTAATAACTGGACAGTAGTTCAATAAATAATAAGAAAGATAATATCTGAGTTGTATTTGCTACCTCGCGTAACATGACGAAGACAAGCCAACAACTTCGTCACACATCGTTTTGTAGGTTATCTAAAGCTACTTCGCAGTCGTTTACCGATAAATCAAACGATGTTATCAATAACCAGTAAAGTAATATGCGTGGCATATCAGTATTAGTGTAGTGATAGAAATGTAGTACGATCAATTGCTCGAAGATTTGCATTGATAGATTGCGTTTTCGTTTATTAACAGATTTAAAGCGTCCTGAACTTAATATACTGTATGTCGGCCACTTCAAGTATAAACGCTGCGGTTCTCTTTCAGTGATTTCATTGACTGTTTTTTTTTTTCATATTGTCATCACAGCTAATATTATTCTAATTTTAGAATTTTCTTTTTAAATCTAACCCTTCAACTAGTTTGATTTTTCAAACCTTTTCGGTTGTTCGACATTAATATAACAATTAACGTGCGCGCGCGTGTGTGTGTGTGTGTGTGTGTGTGTGTGTGTGTGAGCGTTTGTAGGTGTGATAAAGATATCAGTAGGAGAGAGAGAGAGAGAGAGAGAGAGATCTGCCATTTTCCAGTTTCTCGTTCAGAATTTCAATGTCTCCCTCTCCTTGGCTCCCTTGCATGTAAAACTTAGCTAGAGAGCACATTATATTGAATGACTTTGATATCTTGCTGAGTATACCCCCCAGCTTTAATCCCCATATTTGTATCAATTGCTTCCATGACACAAGAGCTTCTGAGGTCGCCGATTATCAGCTGCGATGAAAAATTATACCTCGTTTTATTCCAAAGAAGACTGCATTCTAAGTAATCATGACGACTGAAATCATTTTTTACACTTCTTATCAGAAGGACGTGTATACAGTCTTACGGGGTTTGGATTATTTTAGTAATCGAGATATCCGAAGCCATTGGAATCCCCCTGGCGTTCAGTTTAATACTTTAATGAATCAGTTTATGGTAGGAATGTGGTAGAAGTGAAAAGATTCCTCTGGTTACTCATATAAATAAAGTTCGTACAACTGGCCCTTTTGACTTCACTTTCCTTGCGAAGATTTTGGTGAGAATAATCTGTTTTGCACAAGATCAGTAGTATCTAGACAGGATAGAAGCATAATAGTGAAGTAGTGTTGTGGAGCATGTTTGTAGTAGAAATGCAGTATAGTCTACTGCATTTCTGCTACAAAAATCACATAGGTTTGTACAGAGAGGAGTATTAATGCAGTAGATTAGCAGCATAATAGAAGAATGTTTCAAATATGCTAAATAGCTTCCGAGTTTACTCCGATGAGGTAGAGAAAAAAGCATTATACTTATGCTGCACTGCACTGGCGCAAATCGAATACTTCAGTTTTGCAGTAGGCCATATAGGAAAAAAATGTAACGCTCGCGTATTGCTCCACGGAGGTAGTTTTGGAGCATATAAGGCATCTGTGCATGTATATCAGTCTGGTCATAACTCTATAAAATTATTCGGACCGTACCGTACCGCGTCACACAGTAACCTAGATGACGACGTCGATCTTCTTCTCGCCATTCTGGCACAGGTTAACAATTTTGTAAAACATTGCTTAACTCATTTTACGCACTGCGAAACCGACCGCTTGCATGCAAAATTTCAAATTCTTCTATGCAGTAGTTGCTGACATTTGGATGTTGATTTTATAGAACCATGCTTCCCCAAAGTCAAGCTTTGACCAGCCCAAAGGAGCACTAACTGATTAAATTACTGCATAATACACAGTGCATCAGTGCCACAGCCATGGTGGTCAGATATCTGGTAGCGACACACCAGACTACACACTTCTTTATTCGTATCTCTTATGTGAAATCTGAGAACCCATTTTTACCTTTGCAATTGAAATATTCCATATCAAATGTCAAGTCGTTATTATATATACATATATACACTACACATAAAACATGGAAACTGTGTTTGAAAGAATAACAATTGCAGAGTGACGAAACAGAACGATCGGTCAAAAACCGATTTATAGTACAGTCTTCTTTTATGAATAAAATGTTTTGGAAATCAGCAACACGTGTATCTATTCAGCATTCTGTACATTCACAATAGTTGAGGTGAGCGCCTGCATGCTGTTTTTAATACCAGCATGTGTTGTTAGCAACAACACGTTGACCAGAATCATTTATCATAATTTATTGTTAACAGCATAGGGGAAGACCATGTGTATTTGTTACCTAGGCTGTTCACAGCGAATTGCTGTCTCCTTAACCATAAGGCATTATACAGGTTTTTCAATATGGTAGCATTGTATGAAAATGTACAGTAGGTTGTTATCTGATTTTCCAGACACAGGGATCGAGTGTGGGGATAATGAATTAAGCCGATGCCGTAAAAGGTGGAACGCCCAGTAATATTATTCGAGGAGTTGTGTCTTGATTCATAAGGTTGTTTTTCAGTAAGATAAAGGTGAATTTAAAATATCTGGATTTCATTCTGGATCCTAGTTTTTGGAAACATTTAAATCTTATCACCTCCTTAAAGTGGATTGCTGTTGAGTTGACACTGGTGACACGAGCAGGCACGAATGCCGATTGGATTATCTTTTCCTTCAATCAACATCAACTACGTGTTCAAACCTGATTGGGTATCTTCCACAACATATCTGATGCTCCTGGGGGCCAACTGTCCATTTCAAGCATTAATTCAATCAACAGAACCTGTTTCGCACGGAAAACCGATCTATTTGTGTTGTATTGTTTAGCATACAAGAGAGATGTTTCTTCCACGTGTACTTTGGTTGTTGGCGGCGGTGGTGATTAATGATGTCATGGGAGAAGACGTCCAGTGCGCTTAGAATGGTCCTAAGGTAAGACATATAAGACCATGCATTTTATTGGAATGACACAGCCGGGTATATACCGTACACGTCCAGTGCGTTTCGAATGGTCCTAAGGTAGGACATATAAGACCATGCATTTTATTGGAATGACACAGCCGGGTATATACCGTACACGTCCAGTGCGCTTCGAATGGTCCTAAGGTAAGACATATAAGACCATGCACACATTTTATTCAAACTTTAAATATACATGTACACTTATACTGCTTGTTACTCGGATTTTTACTATTCTTAAACACCTGTTGAGCTTACATGGCTACATTTGATGTTAGCTGATTCCATTCATACAAGGACGCCTTATCTTATTTACCCTGTTGAATTACTATTCCATGACATATTTTATAAACTTCAGAGGAAACTGGATGCAGGAGATGAATGGCGTACTAAAATTTCCCGCTTTTTCGCTCTATTTGATGCTGACAATGACGGAATTGTGAATCGCCGTGAATATGTTGACGAGACTGTTCAAAGAGCGATAGGTAATTTCGGGGTGGATAAAATCAGCGGTTTCAATGACACTCTCACCAATGGATGGTTTGCATTTTGGTCCACTCTAGAAAACAACAACAAAGAGAACTTGACCGTTGATGAGGCCATTTCCATACATTTGTGTCTGTTCGGATACCACAAACTTGAAGAAACAACTGCTTGGGCCTTAGGAGTATTCAAAGCAGCGGATGATGACGAAGATGAGAAGTTGAACTCCCACGGGCACAAAACCTTCCTTGAAGTATTCAGTGTTCAACAAGGCATCGCCGAGTCATTTAGTTATGTCGATAAAAACAGCAATGGCATCATCGAGAAAAAAGAGTTCCGCATTGCCCACTTTGATTTTTTCTACCACCGTAAGAAGGATTCTTTGTTTTTTGGGACATAATTATTGATGATAAACTCCGTATTCATGATTTACTTTAAATTATATGCGGTTGTGGGAATTGAATTTTTTTAATCCTTGTTCAACATGGAACGGGTTTTGGAATATTATATTAAAATAATAAGCAGTTAGCAACGACAGATTGTGTTATTGTAATTATTTATTTATTTATTTATTTATTTATTATTATTATTATTATTATTATTATTATTATTAAGAGTATGGCAGCACATAAAGTGTTGAATAAATACAAAGATGTAGTGAAAAACAGTCAAAAACGACATTACTGATATTGATAAATCATGATATAATAAGTAAAGACAAAGAGAAAAAAATGCTATAAACATTTAAACGGTCAACTTTGAAAAGTTTGCCCTCTCTGCCAAGAGGGTTATGTTTAAGGTTATTTATTTTAGTTACCGGTAGTTATTTTGTTTATTTTTCTGCTGGCACATAATGCAAAAAAAAAAAAAAAAAAAAAAAAAAAAAAATAAAAAAAAAAAAAAAAAAAAAAAAAAAAAAAAAAAAAAAAAAAAAAAAAAAAAATGCATCATTTACCTCACGTTATTTGCGACAAGTGACCTAATTAAACGTAATATTGGCTATTACCTTTAGATTTCAATATGGAAACTAATGTTTGCTAAATGCTCGATAATTATTTTTGTTTTGGATTTTGCTGTGTTTGAAATGGCTGCTATCTTCAGGATAACTCTCCAGAAGACAACGATTTTATAAACAGCTAAGCCCCCTTTATACTGGAAGGCTGTTGTACACGCGTTTCCGCGGCTAACTCATGAACATTAATAAATTCAGTATATTTCACCCTGGCCCGTACAGAAATACTGTACTATACTATGGTACTTTTACAGTTAGATAAGAACATAGGATTAGGGCTACGGAAATGGCAGATTTCAATATTTCAAATCTTTACGGTTTTACTTGGCCACATATCAAGTTTCGCTCTTGGCCAATCAGTTTGAAAGGAAATAATGCTAGTTTTGGACCAATGTCTGTCACTTTACACCAGAGGATGGAGATCTAATATACGTCCCTGTCTCACCATATTTGATTCTTACAGACATTTTATTTTGAATACAACGAAACCCAGGTGCCTGATCTGGGTTTTCTATGGCGGACTGCATAAATCTTTTTTCGTTTATAACTTGAGTTATTTGGATAGAAAAGGCACAAATCGTCAAATGTAAGCACAGGTTCGTGTCGAGCACCGGTCCAAGAGTAGGTGGAAATCAATTACTTTTAAAACAGATGAAGGTATAATATAACTATGAGCTTGCCAAACATACAGTTAGCAATAAGGTATGGAAAACAACCAAACTGAAGCATTTGCGACAGTTTTATTTGCATGACGTAGAATGACTTGTTTACAAGACAGTTAACCACTCCCTTATCACGACAAATGAGTACATACGAATATTAAAGTATGTAAATGTAATCTGAAGATCTAATGAGACGGATCAATTAACTAAAATATTAAATAACCGAAATGGTGCCTCTGGAATCTAGCAGGCTTACTTATCATTAAATTAATTGTATTATTGGAATTAGGAAAAAAAATGATTTAAGGCATACTGAAACGACATCAGGCCTTCCTAGCAAATTAAATGTTTCCCATTAGTATTTAAATATTAAAATTAATAAATATATATAAATATTATAATATTTCACCCCATTATAATATTATTAAATTACATAAAGGAAACTGAAATGAGTACGTAATGACCTTTAACACAAGCAAGGTAAATTAAAGTTTTAAGTTAATTTGAGAAGTAAATGATGTTTTAGGAAATTGGTAAATAAGCAAGCTGCAACAGTTTTTTTCCCATGTTTTATAATTTTTTTGTTATTTTCAATCTGCTAACTAATAATCAGTGGGAATAATATACAACTGCATATTTAAATGCAGTCGAGAAATGTCTGCATAAGTCCGTTTTGTCCAGCATTTTTGAAGTCCTGGCGTATCTCTGTAAATATAAAGAAAGACATTTGATAAATACTTAAGCTTGGATTCCAAATGTAATATATCAAGTTCCAAGAGATATACAAAACTATTTGTAAAAATGCAAATTTGTGAAGTACAAGATTCAATGAAGCGTCGAATTCATAATCGTTAGTTTTATTGAGCGTTTTGTCTCTAAGAGTCCCTCTATTTCCATAAACACTTACCATTTAATACAAAGTATTGCAACACATGTATTTTATCATCACTCGGCAAGGGCAGCCGGGAGGAGCAGGGATTGTCACTTGACAAACCCGACGTGATTGGTCGGTACATACGTCGGTCACGGCAGCCTGCACGCCAGCAACATAGGTCTCATCTGGAATATTTCCAGTAGAAAAAAATCATTTAAACAATTTCTTCTGTGTGGTCGTTTTTGAAGCTAAGACATACATTTTAAATATCTATCGTATGGATTGATTTTGATGACATTTTCAGAATCTGTCAGAAATGCGATTGGGTTTTGATGGTGATTCGGGTTTCCATATGGATCCAAGGCTTACAGCCATATCTTTTTTTTAAATATAATTCACGAGACTGTTAGGACTTATTCCATTGTGAGACAGTGACTGTTGACCTTGACCCAAAATATTCAAGAGAGGTATCTTAACTCGGGGAATGGGTGTGCTACCAAGTGCCAAAATTCATCAATTTGGCGGAGGCCGGCTCTCTACGTGCTTTTCGAGTAAGGATCTAAATAAAAAAAATATGTGATATTTTTATTTTGTTTCAAGTCTGCATACTCATTTATTCTATACCATAAAAGGAAAAAAAGAGATAAAAAACAAAACAATCTCGACTTACCATAGTTTTGGATTCTTTTAATCAGTACAATCCCACATCTAAAGGTGACATACTTGTCATTTGTGTTAGCTCCCCGGAAATTCACCCGAAGATTGTGAAGCCTATTTCCTAGAGATAACAACATAGGGAAGAAGGGATCACCTTAAAATCATGCATCATGTACGGTTTTGAAATAGAACATGCTAGCACATAGAGCTTTACACCTTATTATAGCAAAATAAAAAGTGATCTAAATGACACATTCCTAGGGATTTAAAGCCCTTGAGGTAATTACGTATATACTATGGGCATTGTAGAGGAAAGTGTGATATGTAAACCCGGATTTAAGTAATGCTTTTTTTTAATTTTTGAATCAATCCTGTAATTGAGTTAAAAACTGTCTGTCGAATGTTACTGCAAACGGTAATAACAAAGAAAAAATACGGGGATGTGAATCAAAAGTGTGCAGTTATACATGGGCCTGCAACAGAACCCGTTATTAGACAAGAAGCTATTTTGTCATGTTATATCCGAAAGTTACAAGAGGATGCTAACCTCTGTCGTGTTGGAATTAACCCGTTGATCCACCACTTGTTGTACAACACGGCTTTTGGGTGCAGTTTTCATATTCTTCCGGAAGTTGGCCACAGTCATCACCACGGCAAACTGGGTCGGGATATATACACTCCTTGGTACGTGACCGAGTCACTGTTCCTGGCAGTCCACAGGTAGCAGAACAAGAAGACCACGGTAACCAATTACTCAGATAACCATCCACTGGAACATAAGTATTAAAATGTCATCAAATGTCATCGCCGCCCTCAAAAGGAATATAATGTTCTCATTAGTAGGTTCCGAATATTGCCTAAGCGCCTGTTAAGGATAACGTAAGATTGTTTGTTTGTTCGAAACATAACGCAAAACTTTTTGGACGAACCTTGATGATATTTGCAGGATAGGCCACATATGGACCAAAGAACAAAGGAGTAGATTCTTTTGGGGGTGATATGGATAAAAACCGACAACGGACTCCGCGTCGAAGCTTCACATGTTGTAATATTCACACCTTAATATCTCTGAATTGTTTACGTCATGCACTTTGTTGTGACGTTACAACCTGATCTCTTGCATCACATTTTGCCTGACATGACTATAATGAAATCCGCGCTCTTGTGGGGTACAAGGTTTAGGCTATGTCTATAAAGCATTTCAGAGAAAGATAGAGATGGATGTATATCTTCACCTGGGCAACAGGGGCCACTACAACACTGTGTATCGGTTGTCGCACCCACACAGGTGGCGCCACCGTGAGCGGGTTCAGGACATTTGCACTCCCTAGAGCGTGTGTTTGCACCATTTCCACACGTTACTGAGCAATCAGTCCAATCGCTGTACGTGCACCATCCACCGTCAACTGGAATGCAATATAACTACATAATGAAATGTTGCTTTTTTGGTTTGGTCAATGAAATGTCCGTTTAAACTGCGATTTCAGAGAGAGAGAGAGAGAGAGAGAGAGAGAGAGAGAGAGAGATTGGGGAGGTTGGAGAGGGGGGAAGAGAGGGGTCGTTACCTGGGCAAGGGGGGCCACTACAATACTGAGTCTCGGTTTCTGCACCCACACAGGTGGCGCCACCGTAGGCGGGTTCAGGACATTTGCACTCCCTAGAGCGCGTCTGTGTACCATTTCCACACGTTACTGAGCAATCACTCCAATCACTGTACGTGCACCATCCGCCGTCAACTGGAAGGCAATAAAAGTACATTATGAAATATTGTTTTCAGGTTTAGTAAATGGAATGTCTGTGTTAACTGCAATTTCAGAGAGAGAGAGAGAGAGTGAGAGAGAGAGAGAGAGAGAGGGGTGTCGTTACCTGGACAAGGGGGGGAACTACAAGACTGAGTCTCGGTTTCNGCCGCCGTCAACTGGAGGGCAATATAACTACATAATGAAATGTTGCTTTTTTGGTTTGGTCAATGAAATGGTTTGGTCAATTAAGCTGCGATTTCAGAGAGAGAGAGGGAGAGAGAGAGAATGAGAGAGAGAGAGAGAGAGAGAGAGATTGGGGAGGTTGGAGAGGGGGGAAGAGAGGGGTCGTTACCTGAGCAAGGGGGGCCACTACAATACTGAGTCTCGGTTTCTGCACCCACACAGGTGGCGCCACCGTAAGCGGGTTCAGGACATTTGCACTCCCTAGAGCGCGTCTGTGTACTATTTCCACACGTTACTGAGCAATCACTCCAATCACTGTACGTGCACCATCCGCCGTCAACTGGAGGGCAATAAAAGTACATTATGAAATATTTTTTTCAGGTTTAGTACATGTAAATGGAATGTCTGTGTTAACTGCAATTTCAGAGAGAGAGTGAGAGAGAGAGAGAGAGAGAGAGAGAGAGAGAGAAAGAGAGAGGGGTGTCGTTACCTGGGCAAGGGGGGCCACTACAAGACTGAGTCTCGGTTTCTGCACCCACACAGGTGGCGCCACCGTAGGCGGGTTCAGGACACTTGCACTCCCTAGAGCGTGTGTTTGCACCATTTCCACACGTTACTGAGCAATCAGTCCAATCGCTGTACGTGCACCAGCCGCCGTCAACTGGAGGGCAATATACAACATTGGTCAAAAAGGTTGTCCCACCCCCATTTCCATGTTTTTTTATTTACAAATGATCACCTTACAGGTGTAAATTGTTATAAACGGTACTTTTTATTCCAAATACCATGTCTAACATGATTAATGGTTCAAAAAATACAAAATAGTGGTAAAGAATATGTACATTTTATACCATTTAGTCAAATTTATAACAGGTACCCCCTCAAATCCAATGTTTCACTGTGATTTCTACAGATGTAAAGGAATGTCTCTTAAATTAAAAAGACCACATTAAATGTCACCAAATTTACACACAATTAGCATTAGGATGTGCTCCTCAATGCCCAGGATATTGTCCTATTCTTCTTAAACAGCTTGGAAAAGTTGGTCCACTTTTTTATGGGGTTGGTTCTCCTCTGCATTGCACACTCTAATTCATGCCACAGGTGATTAGTAAGGTTAATATCAGGGCTCAAATATGGTGGTTCCATCCTTAGAACATTGTGTTTCTACAACAAATCACTTGCCAGGCAAGAGGTGTGAGCAAGTGTGCTGTTATGATGAAGCCTGGAGTTAACCCCAAAGTCAGTTCTTGAAGATGGAGTGAAATATCATCTGAGAATGCTACGTTCAGTGATCCCACAGGGACCTGAACCGGGCCATCCATCACTGGAAGGGAATTGGTTTTGCTGCAGAATCAGATTATTTTTGTATCCCATCGATGGTCAAATAAGGGTCCGTAGACATGTTGAAAAATGCCTCTTGGAAGGGTGTATGCAGAATAATATTGCCTGAGGTGTTAGATCAGTCGGCATTTGGACGTAACTGGGTCATTTTACGGTATAATTCTCAACAGATCGCTCACTCCATTTGCAAGAGGTGACTTCAGGGATGATACCGGCTTTATTGTGACAACGCACTTGCTCACAGGTCTCGTCTGGCAAGTTATTTGTTGCAGAAATACAATGTTCCAAGGATGGAACCACCATATTTGAGCCCTGATATTAACCTTACAATCACCTGTGACAGGAATTGGAGTGTGCAATGCAGAGGAGAACCAATTCTAAAATAATCTGGACAAATTCGGCCACGCTCTTTAGGATGGATGGGGCAATATCCCACAAAACAGAATCATTACCCTTGTTGAAGGCTTGTCGCGCCATCTACAGGAAATAATTGCATTGCGCGGTAGATGCACATGCTATTAGGCACGTGATCTTTAACGAGCACACCCTAATGCTAATTGTTTGTAAACTTGGTGACATTTGATGGCGTCATTTTAATTTAATAGACATTTCTTTACATCTGTGGAAATCACAGTGAAACATTGGATTTGAGGGGGTACCTGTTATAAATTTGACTAAATGGTATAAAATGTGCATATTCACACCACTATTTTGTATTATTTTGTGTCATTAATCACATTAGACATAGTATCTGGAATAAAAAGCACCGTGTATAACAATTTACACCTGTAAGGTGTTCATTTGTAAATAAAAGTACATGGAAATGGGGGTGGGACAACCTTTTTGACCAATGCTGTAAGTACATAAAGGAAGGTAATACATGTAATAAGGTTTTACCTATGAAATATCTATTTTAACTGCGATTTCAGAGAGAGAGAGAGAGAGAGAGAGAGAGAGAGAGAGAGAGAGAGGGAGAAAGAGAGAGAGATCATTACCTGGGCAAGGGGGACCACTACAAGACTGTTTCTCGGTTTCTGCACCCACACAGGTGGCGCCACCGTAGGCGGGTTCAGGACATTTGCACTCCCTAGAGTGTGTCTTTGTACCATTTTCACAAGTCACTGAGCAATCAGTCCAATCGCTGTACGTGCACCATCCGCCGTCAACTGGAGTGCAATATGAGTACATAATGAAATGCTGTTTTTGGTTTGGTCAATGAAATGTCTGTTTAAACTGCGATTTCAGAGAGAGAGAGAGAGAGAGAGAGAGAGAGAGAGAGAGAGAGAGAGAGATTGGGGAGGGGTGAGAGAGGGGGAAAGAGGTGGGTTGTTACCTGGGCAAGGGGGACCACTACAAGACTGAGTCTCGGTTTCTGCACCCACACAGGTGGCGCCACCGTAGGTGGGTTCAGGACACGTGCACTCCCTAGAGCGTGTCTGTGTGCCGTTTTCACACGTCACTGAGCAATCAGTCCAATCGCTGTACGTGCACCATCCGCCGTCAACAGGAGACCCTGTGAATGTATAACTTGATATGTTTATTCCACACTTGCAGTGACAACATTATAAACAATACTGGAATATTAAACCATTAGAGAAAAATACTGATTTTGTTGTGAACCAAAACAAATGTGAGAGTTCAGTTTGCAATGCATTAAATGTCTAGCAATATAAGTATACTGTATACATTTAAACGAACTGACATAGCAGTCTATGCCATTGAACAAGAACGAATGTGGTCATGTAGTTTGAAAAGGCACAATTAGAGTAATCCTCAAGGTTAAATTCTTGCGCTTTCCGAAATGTTTATTTTCAACGGGTACTTTCCCCTTGCTTGCTGTGCTATGATGAACCATCGGTCAAATTTTGTCAAATTATATAATTATGGTAATGTGTCATACACATCTATGCCATTCTAGTAATCTATGCCATTCTAGGATTGTAAGCGAGCACATTTTCCCTATCGATGTTGGAACCATGGTGACAAACGTTTCTCAACCAACTCCCGTCTGCTAAGATCAGAAAAAAATCCCCAGATATTTTCCCATGGCAGAGTCTCATATTTGACCAAAATCCAACATGGCCGCCGTTAAATTGACTCACATTAATAGATGTTTCAACCTGAAGAAGGTGTAATTTTAAAGCATTAAAGCATTTTTTTTTGTCTGACTGAGCGATAAATTTGTTTTTCCCTTTGGCATGTCTTGAGGCTTATAAGTAACTAGAAGCAATGGTTTCAATGCCGGAGTCCATATATACATTTGGAACATAGTTATGGGCACTGGCGTCCAATTTGGTTCCCCAAGATGCAAATTACCTAAGTCGAATTATTACACATTACCTTCTGTAAGTTTGTCACATAGGAATGGTCCAGGGCATCTGTAAATATAATATAATATAATATAATATAATATAATATAATATAATATAATATAATATAATATAATTCGTTGCAAATTCGTATATAATAGTCCTTTCTCTTCCTCATGAATATACAATACGTTAGATCAGTAGAAGAGATAATAAACTTTCTGAACATCCTAATTACTGGCGCTGCTAAACGGTAGTTTATTACCGCCTAACAGCTTCAGTAGGCATGCCGGGATCCGCCTAAGCCGACTTCAACTTTGCAATACACTCCTCTAGTTGCTAGTTCGATTATAAGACATGAGAACAGGGTCCTCAGTGGGTTTGATCTTACCTATTGCTACCAAAGGCTTGATAACAAACCAAGGCCTGGGCGAGCTGTGCAGCGGTCGGGGTCCAGGTTATGCTTACAGAGGCTGTGCTGTCGTTGATTTTAACCATCGCACTGACATTAGCACCGGATGGAGGGAAAACGTTGATGGCATTTATTCTACAAGTGTAGAAAGATGCGAACGTTATAAATAAAGATGTATTCATTGTCGTTTATTCTGTATGTGTGGAAAGAAATGGACGTTATGAATATAATATATGCATGGGTGTGGATTATGTGCTGTCATTTCGATACGCAGATCCGTCGTCAACTAAAGTCTTAATTACATGGTATTTTAAATTGTTGCCTGTTTTATGCTGATCGAGCAAGGAAGTGCTTACAAGTGCAAACATACCCACTGGGATAAAATGCTATTAAGTCTTTCGTGAAGGTCTGCCCAGCACGTAGGTTTTTTGTCTCTGGTGGAGTTGTGAAAGTTGGCGGGTTGTCGCAATTACAACCATCCTTTATGCGAGCAAGATACTGAAATATCCAAGTTATTTCACACATTATAAAACCCCAATTTATGACAAATGAGAAATTCAGAATCACAATCGTCAATTCAAAAATCAATCAATCAATCAATAAATAAATAAACATGTCATGTATGCCTGTGACAGTAAAAAGTAAAGTCAATCTATGAATATGTAGCGATATTAAGCAAGTGATATTGTTCATAAAGGGCCTTTAAAATGCGACTTTTCGCCGATCTGTGCTACAAACGGACACGTATAAGCGACGCGCGCTGCCACGTGTGGAAACAAAAGGCAGGTTCATTCTGGTGGATAATTATGGACAAAAAACTACAGGGTGCAGCGTGTTTGTAGAACTTTACTTAGCGAGCTGGCTACGCGTTATGTAAAAAGCATTGCTATTTAAATAATAATGCCATGGGGTCGGCAACTATGATAGGGTTAACCATACCGTCCTTACCGTTTTTTTCTGATCGCCAATGTTTTCATTTCTTTTTAATCTAAATACTTATATAAATTTTCCTGACCTGCAGCGGGACCTTTGACAATGGAGTTGTTTCGTCTTTCTGCACTCCACCCTGTGTTATTTTTGTTGCGGGGAAATCTTCCAACATTATTGCTACTGTATAAAACCCAGTACCGTACAGGCTTCGCTTAGAAGACGGGATGATAAGGGTACAGTTCTGAAATAAATCAACTGATATTTTACCCACCAAAGCGTTGAGTCGTTTATTTTGAAAACGTGTATTTCACGTGGGCTGATTTCATGTGATTAGATCAATGTGTATTCAGGTGTGTCAGTAACAATAAACCGATTACCTTGTCTGAAGCACTGTTTACTTAAGCAACGTACGGCGATTTCAATGGGTATTACTATATGGGCTGGTCAAACCAGTTGCAAACCATGCAAGCCAGGTTGGTGAACCTGAACAGAGGCCACTCCCAAAACATCCAGAACTTAACACCGGGGAACAGGGCACATTGTTCTTACGCTTTTACTGCTATAAATAAGCAACCTCAAAAAGGTCCCTTCAGAACGAGGGGAAAATTATCACCAAAAAGCGCTTTCCAAGGCCTACTGTCATAGCGAGACTGCTCTTAGCATGTTACTATACCAAACACATCAGTGACCGTTGCTGAATTTAGACGCTGATATTGCAGCGATGATTTCTTTATGAAGTCCCATCTAATGCCATACTGAATGTTAGTATGTTCATGACGATAAAGAAGAAAAAAGAGAGAGAGAGAGAGAGAGAGAGAGAGAGAGAGAGTTTACGTACTGCGGATACAAAGTTGACCCCGGAAGTGGCCCACATATGTCGGCGCACTCATCCTCTCCCTTTGCCCAGCGACATCTTACAATATCCCCATCTGCATCAGCATTTGGGATGTCAAATTGATAGCCACATGTGACATCCATGCTATTGAAAATCAAAAATAATGACAAGAACCAATTTAATTATAGTGGATCAATGCGTTATTAGCGAGCTCCCTAGCTAATTATATTAACTTGTTTTGCACTAATATTATACTTCTGTGATTAAAATCATGTGATGATCCGTAAAAAAAATCATTTGCACTAAACACCAAGTACTTACTTAACCATGGGGCTACTTGTGGTTACTGGGCTTGAATTTGGTTTTCCCGTGTCGTTTCGGATACCAGCATTATATTCGGTTGTAACATTCCAGCTTTTTCGGTCTCCTCTTTCCATTGCTACCCAGCAACAGTCTTTAAATCTGAGATGTTTAAAAATGTGGAATAATGAGACACGCAAATACAGGGGTACCCGTTGTAGTCTGGATGACTGGTGCTATATTTTGGCCAATTTGCTCAAAATGTGGAAAAAGCATGAAACTTGGCACAATTGTTCTTTGGTCTATGCTGATCATTTTCAAGGGCAGTGCCCAAAATTTCCAAGCGTTGCTTAGCAACCGTTGCTATGGAAGTGAATTTCCTTAGTAACAAGCTAATTAGACCTTTCTTGTCCAGTTTAAAAAGTTTATAAATGCTAATAACTATGTTTCAGGGCATCAGAACTATCACTAGACTATTTTAAGGCAATTAAAACCCAAATTAACCTTAGCCACGATTGCTAGGCAGCATATTACCCTAGCAACAAGCATTTAAAGTTGCGTTAGTCTATTAAGTAAGGCAAATCTATAATACTAGCTAAGAACTACACTTTTGAGCAAGATGTTCATACTTTTAATCCAGTAAGTTGAACCAATTGTGTGTTTACACACATCCGATCAAATAAATTGCCAGTGCAGATACTTAAGGCAGCATGTTCAAAATTAGTAACCAGCCATTTCCATGCTTTTATCACCTTACGACTCTTTATAANCAAAAAATCAACCTTTTTAAATCATTTAAACTGAACAAGAAAGGTCCAATTAGCTTGTTACTAAGGTAAATCACTTCCTTAGCAACGGTTGCTAAGCAACGCTTTGAAATTTTGGGCACTGCCCTTGAAAATGATCAGCATAGTCCAAAGAACATTTATGCCAAGTTTCATGCTTTTTCCACCTTTTGAGCAATTTTTGCACCAGTCATCTAGACTATTGAATTAATTTGATGATTTGCTTTAAAAACGACTGAGTTATATTTAGGCCACGAGCCGTACACTTTCACTAATGGGCCTGATTTGGTCTTACAGCAATTTTCCCATATTTACCAATGGTTAATGAATCCATTTCTACATTAAAAATTAGTCCCTTTTTTTGGTAATAATCTCTTAAGAGATACAGTGTAGCCATCTTTGGAGGTCACGTGATCAGATGACAAGCACAGCTTTCGTATGTATTGCTGCCCTCCCGTAAAATAGAATATATTACATTTCTGAGTTGTTTACAATGTATTTATTGTGAAATTTAGATTTCATACGAGTAGCTGTTATCCCTTTAAGTAAGGTGTCTTAATTTGATCTTAAAACTAGAAACGAACTGAAAGTTCAGTGAGTATGACTATAATTGGTCTGATTTCAACTGAAGTTGTAAAGCAGTTAAAGCAGTTATGGTTTGCCCATATTTAAGCAATGATACATTATGTCTACCAACAAAATCGCAATCAATTTGAATATGATGTTGTCAAAATGTCATTAATATCAAGATAATGTAACTGATACAATTCTTCGAGCACATGCCTTACAATATAAAATGAAATATTCTCAGAAAAAAAATACACTGTTGACAAATTTTTATTTAAGTCACCAACTTCACCTGTTGTAGAATACGAAAAAAAAATCACATAGATTGGACACTAATATTTTAATACACCAACTAGACACTAGTATACCGATTAGTGATGTACATGCATGAAGGCATTTTGAACAATTTATGGTTGGTTGGTGGTGGAAGACAAACAAAAATAGACTGACCCAAAAGAAAACATCAGTATACCAATTAATGATGTACACGTACGAAGGCATATTGGCCAGGAAGTGGTTGGGTATTGGTGGAGGACAAATAGAAATAGACTTACCCAAACGAAAACACACCAGAGTGTGGCAAAGTGTAACTGAACTCATTTTCCCCTTGTTGCCATTCATCAGTCGGATCTATGGCTGTGACATAGTACCTATGAGGAGCAACCTCAGGGGTTCCGGATCCGCAACCTAAAGTTACAGATAAGGGATAGTTAAATGTGCTTTTGTGATGTCACCACTTAAGACTTTCCTTTGGCCAAACTATACTCGGCAATGTCAAACTCGTGTGAGTGATCTGTGAGAATCAGTGAATTGTACTTACCAGATAAACACTGCCAATAAGGAAACTTCCAAAAAGAAACTGAAAGTTTTTCGAATTTATCGGGCGTACAGGGGTTTCCACAAGGACCATAATTTAATCTCCAGGCCGACCTCCAAGCACAGGTCACTTAAAAAAAGGGAAACGACTCAGATTAGTTATAAAGATATTAGTATCAACATTTGCAGAATCGATTTTATTTCAATATTCTGCTACTGGTTGACAGGACACACAGAAGAACAGGGCAAAACATGCATGGGGTGTTGTGGCTACTATGGTGTAGGCGAGATGGCAGTGGTCAACAGGAACCTTAACTCAGACCCATGCATCCAAGTACTGGAAAGGAACTTAAGGAAATCTGGTGACAATATATTTGGGAACTACGACTACTAATTGATGCTTTATTATGACAATTTTACTCCACGCACAGTCAATGCAACAGTGGGCTGTTCATATGCAAACCAGATCCGGACCCACCATGGTCGATCAGCTCCAGCCCTAGATGAGAACCCCATAAGGAATGTGTAGGATATTCTCGGAAATGGATAACTGAGGGATAACCCTACATGCCAAAATTATTTCTTAAACTATCTTTGCATCGTATGTGGAATGCCTCATTGCACAAAGGTAATAATGTTTTTTTTTTTTTTTTTTTTTTGTCTCCACGGACAGACGCTTGCTCATCGTATCTTCATTGATAATAACATATTTAAAGAAACTCTCACCATTCATCAGGCCAACTGAAGCGTTATCCGGAGCGGGCCTACAGCTGATTGTGGCAAATCTGAAGTGCGACCCTGAAATGGTATAGCTAATTTTGTCTCCTCATTAACTCAAAAGAAAGCATAAGTAAAATGCAAACAAAATAACAATCTCTTTTAATTGAAAAATCTCTCTGTTAGAAGAATATTATAATGTATTGTACATCATTGAATAATGTTGAGTAAATTAAAATCACGTAATTTTACATCATAAATATAAAATAATATCCAAACAAATAGTGCACAACCATGTGTTTTCACTTGCGCGGTTTCTTGTTTCATACTGGCACGTTGTTATATCAAACTAATCTTCACGTTGAGATGAGTCGCACTGTATACAGGAACTGTTAATATGTTCCAGGCGATCATATTGAACACTTCTTATAACAGATTTGTACAATCCATGGACAAGCTTTTCACTTTTTTTAATTAGATCTCATATATCTGTGAATGGAGAAGTGTGAGGTCAGGTGTGTCCCTTCCAATTAACTGAATAGCATTTTTTTTTTTTGGTTTTTTTTTTTTTTTTTTTGCGCTGCTGCATTATGTTATATGCAGTCATTTAATTGGGTAGTGCTCCTCTGCGCAGGTCAAAGCTTGGCTTTGGCGAAGCATGGTGCTGTCCAAAAAGTATGTTGGCAACTACTGCACAGAAGAATTCGAATTTTTGCACGCAAGCGGACGGTTTCGCAGTGCGTAAAATGAGACCTCTGAGGAAGCCACTGTAAACAGCAAGCAGCGTAGTCTGTTTCTCTAATGAATTGGGGACCGTTGCCGTTTCTGGGTAGAACACTGAAACCGCGTGGCTTTCTTTATTGGGGTCAGACTTCACCTGTACCGCTAAACTGGTCAAAACATAGTTTACAGACATCATGAAGAAGCTTACGACGAAGCGCGTGCCACTTCTTAAGTGACTAGGGTCATTGCCAGTGTCAGCATTTGGAGTGGATACCACATTGGTGCCAAAACACCAATGGTAGTCATCGATGAAAACCTTAATCAGATCAAATAAAGGCATAATCTGAACACCATTTGACTATTGTTTGATAGGGGGCACATAAGAAACAATTTTAGGTCAAGCGTAACAGCGATTGTTGCTGTGACTAGATACTGACATGGGATGCCTTTGTGGGACGTGTAACACTTTTAAAGACAATAATTAGGAAAATGTGGAGATCCAAAATATCGGTTGTACTATAACTTAAAATGGCAATGCTTATTTGTATGCTTCACTGGCGAATTCAGTGAATGAACTGATGTCACAATGACATCGAATAGATTATCAAAAGTTATTAAAACACGTTTTTAATCCTTATTTTCATTTAGCAGTCAGCAAAATAGAAAAAAAAATTGTTGAATTATGATTTGGAAAAAATATTCCCTATTAAGTGTCAAGTCTGTAATTCGTTTGGTTTTTTGAATACTGAATATTTTTTTTTTAATTCGTAAATATAAGTAGACCTAGGCCTACAAAGCAAATAATTACCCTTTGTTATTCACTGGTTGTGTAAAAATCGGGATTAATTGTCCAGTTTTCAAACAATAATTCCACAACATATTTTTAATATTAAATTTGGTGTAAATACTTTTGCTAAATTATCACGGAGGAGACACAGATAACATTTGCTATATCAAAGTCTTTCTTCCTTAGTTTGCCATGAGTCATGGGTATACATACCGGTCACGGGACTGTCGAACAGAAACAATGCGATGATGTAGAATTGCAGTGACCACATCGTAGATGACATCGATTCTGCAACACAAAAGAAGAACAATGATAGTAATTCATAAATCTGAATTTACAGTTAGATTCGCTCTTCAAAAAAAAAAAAAAAAAAAAAAAAAAATCGATCAATGGGATTTTTTTCCAATTTGGACGGTTATTGTAAAAAAATTTAAAGAAAATAAATAAAATATATGATAGCTAAAGCTGTCTATATGCAGTGCCATTTTAATATCTTAATGTAGAAAGGAACATTCCTTGACATATACCCTGTAAACAACATCTAAAGCAAAACATCTAAACAATTTAAAAGAAAGTGTCTGAGTTTGTATAATACCAGCTCCTTTTTCAACCTACACGTGTTTCATCCTGAACTGTGCTATTGTTGAAGTGGTTTGTAAATGAGTGTTTTTTTCCTATTTCAACTCACATTAAAATTTTGAAACACATTCCGTTGGTGACAAAGGAAGCTAAAGAACCATGGTGTCTTAATTTGTATAGTTTCAAGAAAGTTTTAGTTCTACGGGTATAAAGATCAGGTCAGGAAAACTTATTAAACAAATGCAAATGCATGTATTATCTGATTAAAAATAATATCGTATGAATAGCTAAGGATGATTTTATTTATATGCAGCATATAAGAATATTTATGTCATTAAAAATATAGCCATGGTTTTATAATGGCAGGCACCTTGGTGTGGGAACTCCTGCAAATCAGGGAATTAAGACAAAATTATTAGCGTGGTTTGGTCTGCAGTATTCGAACCACCTGTAAATAGATACCCGCATAGAATTCAAATAAACCGTCAACTAGTATTGGTTTTAAAGCTGTTTGTTTTCATTAGTCGTTGTTTTAATTTTAAAAAATGACGGTCACATTTTTTCGTCATAGAAATTCATTTCTGATATTTTAATAGTGCTTGGATGTAACGTCACAATCAAATAGTTTTGGGATCTTTAACATAACTTTTAACGGATCTTTTTTGACAAGACTTGGTAATAAATGCATAATTTCCCCACCCATTTATTAAACTTCGTCGTGGAAAAGCGCACGTGTTTATATAAATTAGCACACTGTGACAGCAGCAAATGTACATGGACTATAGCATTTGAGTGATGCTATAACGTTTTCGAGAAAAACAAGGTTGCAAAAAATTACCCCAGCTGTTGGAGCTTACACAAGCGTTCCAGATGCAGGCAAAAAAAAAATAGTCTGGAGGTCTGGAGGTCCGGAGGACCCCTGGTTTCTGATATGACAGTCTGCTTTGAAATACAGGGTCCCTCCGGACCCTGAATGATCTATGTTTAGAGTGTCTCCCGGACCATCTGTTATACCGGGCCCTACGTTCCGTTATATATTAACGTCGACAAAAAAATGTATTTATGTTAAAGTAATGAATATGCAACTCATAGTATACTATTTTTTTATTTTAATATACTATGTAATGTGTCGTTTTACAGTCGTCATAATAAAGAATGCATATTGCCATTTGCACCAAGAAAATATGTGCAAAGTGTGCACATTTTTGTTGCAAATTATTCACATTATTCCAATCAACCAACTCTACCGAAGGACAAGGCCAGAAGTGGTGATACAGTGTGCTATGGGGAGGATGACATAGAAAAACGTGTTCAGCTAGTATATTCTCGCCATGATTTCCATACACCACAGGCACAGGAAAACATACAATTTGCTCAACAAAAACAAAAGAGATGTTATGACTCGAGGCATGAAAATGGGGTAATTGTGCATTAAATATTCCTCGATGTCCTCTTTTTAACAGCATGACATAATTAACATAAACATTCCAATCTTCAATTCTTTGATTAATTGTTGGAAATGCATCTCATAATATTTCGACATTTATAACGTCAATGCAAGCGATTCTTTCATTTTACAGGAAAAATAACGAAAACGCAGTATATACTCCAGCGCAGTAGACTACTGCAATCATACTGCAAACATGCCTCAAATCTGTTTCGATTTGGGAGCCCATTAGCATATTTGAAACATGCTTCTACCATGCTGCTAATCTACTGCATTAATGCTCCTCTCTGCACAAACCTATGTACTTTTTGGAGTAGACTTGCAGTAGGCTATACTGCATTTCTACTGCAGATATGCTCCACACCACTACTGCGTTAATGTTTCTTTGCTACCTCGATACCGCTGCATTTTCGTGCGGGTGGCGTTAGAGTGTTAAAACACAACCTGCGCAAGGAGGATTGGAAGGGTGGAAATGTGCACAACGTTACCTGGGACCATACGTAGTAGTGGGAAAGGGTAAAACGAAGGGAATCTACATGTTGCGAGACAGATGTGGCGGGAAACTTAAGACCCCTGTAAATGATGCTACTCTTAAATTGTACCAAGAGAAAAGGTACTTCACATTGTTATATATATATATATATATATATATATATATATATATATATATATATATATATATATATATATTTTTTTTTTTTTTTTTTTTTTTTTTTTTTTCTGTGGAAAACTTTT